TTGATCGTTAGATGGTTGGTGCATTCTAACCAACTCACACATACACACATGGTAAACATGAGGGTGGAGAAGAGAATTAGGGTTTGCAGCAGTGTATCATATCTAATAATATTAATGTATGTCGCTGCTTCATTCGTTGGTGGGAGAAGGGACACATTGATTTACTTGGTAATGACACCTTGCCTTTCTAAATTGTAACGGTTGTCTAATGTTTCTTTAAATATGTAAGTTAGAGCTAATAAATGGCCAAGACTTTAATTATAATTGAAATAAAAACTTGACTTCTAGAAGATATACTTGGATTGCTTTTTCCCCGGGAAAAGGGAGAACTACTTTTATATGTGTATATTTTTATGGAGTTAGCATTCTATTCTTGGTTCAAGGGAAATATCTAAAGCAATAATGTTATAATATTAAAGATCAAAGTCTAATGCATTTATATTGCTTTTTGAGTACAGCTCCATCTCTTTAAGATGTTTTAACTCTTCCTATTCATTCACAACATCATTAGGGTTGATGTCACAGTTGCTCACTTGTGTACCGTGTAGGCACCTCTGCCCTTTCCCAACACGGAAGCTCCCTTTATTGCTCTTGGAGGAAATGGTGGGATTGTACTTTGTGAGAGGGTACAGGAGGATAGGGTATCTTGCTTTACTCGGATACTCAGTGTCTTCTCTATCACTCAACATTGCTTAGTGATTTATTCTCAAGATTTTTCCTTCTAAAAAGAGGACTTGCAGCAATGACCAGACTTGATAAAGCCGATTGCGGTCTTTTGTGGGTCAAGTTCATATGTTTACTGCTTCTGAGAGTCCTATGAAGGCAGATCAACAACTGCACTGCAGTTTATGTGGATGGGATCCTCAGTTGTAGAGCAGTGGGGTTAATAAAGGACATACCGGAATGGGCTGAGTAGATGTCACACAGGGAGAGTAGGATCTGAAAGACTAGATTGACTCTTGACTCCACTCATTGAGAACTACTGAAAAAACATTGCATTAAGCTAAGCTTTTCGAAGTCCTATTTCCTAACAAAAGGAACAGTTTTATCATAAGAGAACATTTTAAATTTGGCTCAATATCTTCATTTGCTCATGTCAGAGCTGTAGGTTTGATTATAACCAACCCCCCCTGTTATAATTCTCTATGTAAAAAACAAAATAGGAATCCCTCATCAATAAATTGTTATATATTAAATACTTTTTTTCTTTAGTAGATTTGATCTACAGACTTTTTTTTTTTAAAGTCAGAAGTATACCCACTATCTGGTAATTTGCCCTTTTCTCAATAAATCTGAACATATTTCTACCATACTACATTTATTAGCTGTGTGAATGTCTAACAATTAAACCATTCTTAGTTGATATGGATCTAGCAGTAAGTAATATATGAAAGTGCCAGCTTCTCACACCTTGCTCAACAATAGTCTTTAGGGATAATTTTTATTTTTCAGTTAATCTTTTGAATAGATAATACAGTCACATAGTTCAAAATCTTAAGACAAAAATACCTACTCGTAGGGCCGGGGATTTAGCTCAGTGGTTCTGCTGCCTGCCTCACCAGTGCAAGGGCCCAAGTTCAATCCCTGGTACCAAAAAAAAAAAATCGTGCAACTGATTTCTTATCCCTTATAGGCAGCCATATATCAGTTTCTTGGGCATTTCATCTAGATACTTAGTAAGGAAAGCATATTAAGTAGTTTGCTAATAAGTATCCATGACAAAACACAGACTAGGTGGTTTCAGTAACAGGAATTTATTTTCTCACAGTCCGGAAGGCTGGAAGTCTAAGATAAGTGGGGGCAGCAGCTTTGTTTTCTCCTGAAACCTGTGGATGGCTTCCTCCTGTGTCCTCAGTCTTTCCCCCTCTGTATGTACACATCCCCATGGTCTGTGTCTACATCTCTATAAGGATACTAATCAGATTGGGTTAAGACCCACCCAGATAACCTCAATTTAGTCACCTTTAAAGGCCCTGTCTCCAAATACAGTCACATTCTGAGGGTTAGGGGCTTAGGGTTCAAGGTGAATTTTAGGGGGACACAACTCCACCTATGGGGGGATTAAGGCCTTTGCATTATGTATATTTTTGGTATTTACATAGACTTAACTAATGTCTTAGTACTTTTTTAACTTTTAAAAATCTTTACAACCTTTCAGATAACTATTCAAGGATTAGATCAGTTTTCAAAAGGTCTAGAGCCGGGCAGCAAAACATCAGGAACACACCTTTTTTTTTTTTTGGTGCCGGGGATCGAACTTGAGACCTTGTGCTTGTGAGGCAGACGCCAGAACCACTGAGCTAAATCCCTGGCCCCAGGAACACACCTTTGTGTCTGCAGAGAAAGGCTGAAGGGAGAGTAATTTAGTCTCACACTGTCTTAAGGATTATGGTGAACAGTGGCTAACTTAGCAAACATGGTAAGGGCCAAGAGAATAAGGAATAAAACCTCACAGAACAGCTTTGCTCTTCGAACAAATTAACTCTGATAGAAAAGCTCTTCAGCAGCAAAGAGCAGCTGCAAGTCTTAACAATTCTTTTTGGTTTGAAGAAAGTTAAAGACACTGATGGCTGGTATGTATTATCTATGCAATGATGAGCAATATGGAAGAAAAAACAGAAAGTAGGTGAGGAACACAGCAAATAGTGACACAGCAAGAGTGGTGAGAAGCAGTGCCCATAGTCCCAGGGGTACAGGTGATGGGCAGGAAGAACTGAAGTTCATGCTTCAGACCTCGAGGGAGGGAGGCCCCAATGGTACTGAAGGCACCATAGGGTGTGTCTGTTAGCTAAGTTCGAGCTGTGCATGGCAGAGCCTTTGGAGACAGAGTTCAGTTTTAAGAAAAAAGCAATGTACTGAACTTGGAGAACAGATAAATGTGCATTTGATGACCGATAGCAATTACAGTGTGCCCTGTGGAAGACAGAAACATAATCCCATCAAAGGATTACTTCTGTTCTTGCTACTTTCTTTACCCTTATGAAAAATTCCCTAGTTAGAAGCATCCCAGATGTTCCTTGCCTTTAGATTTCTATACAAATTTAAGTTTTCACTTTATTATTACAACACCATGATGCAAGTTCTCTCACAGTACCTGCCTTGTAAGGTGCTACAGTGTTACGTAGGAACAGACCTATAGAGTGTGGACAGTCAGTGGTTTCTGGGATGCTACACACTCTCAACTAGGAAGTGCTGAAGTGACTGAGAAATTGAGAGAGCACAGGGGTAGCAGCAGGGGAAGAGCAGGGATGGATACTATCTACACATGGAAACACGGATGTTGAAGGAAGCAGCCGAGGGAAATTCTAGCTATAAGGGGGAAAAACGCACATTTGTGTGCTTTATCTGGATCACTTTTGGAGTGTTAATGTGTGTTATAAATCTTATGCTGACATGCATGTGCTTAGTGTAGCCTGATTTTCTGAGGACAGACTTTACCCCATTGCTCTTAGGGACATCACCTACCAGATCCAAGCTTTGCCAGCTTCACTTTCTTAATGCTCAAGCCCTTGTTTCATCCTATCAGCCTCCGTACTGTCTCCATGCGTCTGTGCTTGGAATGCTGCTTCCCTGGGTAGCCCCACCTGAGGTCCCATTCCTTGCTGGACTTCCCCCATGAGCTCCTTCAATGATGTGGTCACACATGAAAATTGGCATTTGGCGTTGGTTACCTACTCATAGAGTGAATGTTCCTAGCTCCCATCTCTCTCTCACAAGCCTAGAGAAAAGGAAGGCTATTTGCAGTGTACCACTGTCATGCAGCCGAGCTGGAGCCTGAACCCACGGCTCCTCACCCATGTGGCTTCTGCTCCTGGCTGGCTCCCATTGCAGCCCTCAGTTATATGCTCACTGAAGGTGGGGCAAATTATATACCATAAATACATGTTTGGGTCTCTCGTATCATCATGGCTGAAATTACTCCTAGATTTCTACAGGAGTGTCTATCTTCCCTGTTCCTAGAACTCTAGCACGTAGCTGGAGGTGATCTGAGCTGTCTAATGGATTAAAGTATTAGTTTGCATACTTTCAATGGAGGAAATAGGACTGAAACTGTGGGGGTGTTGTACAGCACTTTAAAATTGGATATCAAACTACCACAATCTTGGACAGACATCTTTATTTAAGAAATCAAATAAATAAGAGTAAAAATGATGGCAGCAACTTCTCACAAAGATATAGGACCAAGCTTAGAATTACTTGCTCCAAAGTCATTCAGAACAGAACGAAATTCTTTTTTTTATATATCCTTTTATTGGTACATTTTAGGTGTACAATATAATGACATTCATTGGAAATGTGCACCTTTACATAATCTCTCTTGGTTCTTATTTTTTCTCCCTTCCCCTGCCCTCCCTTCAGCCCCTCCATCCCTCCCTATTTACAAAGACTTTGTTTCCTTTTTTTCATTATTTCATATTAATTCCATTCCCTTCTTTCCTTTCCCCTGCCCCTCCCACTTCCCCTTCCCCTTTGCCCCCTTTCTTCCTATTTCACATTATCTATTATACCTTTTAGTCCTTATTTACACTTTCAGTTTCTCACACTAGAGAAAGTTCTCGGTATTTACACATGTGTGTCCTATTTATTTCACTTAAGAGCATCGCCTCAATGTGCACCCATTTAGCAGTAAATGTCTCTTAATTTCTAATTTTTGATGGCTGAGTAGTACTCCATTTTATTTAAAAAACCACATTTTCTTTATCCAGTCTCCAGCTGATGGGCATTTGGGCTGTTTCCAAGTTTAGCTATTACAAATTGTGCTATGAACATGGGTGCACATATATCACTGTGGTATGATTCTTTTAATTCTTTGGGGAAGATCCCCAGCAGGGGAATAGCTGAGTCAAATGGGACTTCCAGTCCTAGTTCTTTGAGGTATCTCCATACTGATTTCCACAGTGGTTGCACCAGTCTATACTCCCACCAGCAGTGCAGCAGTCAGAACGAAATTCTTCAAGTGTTCACAATAAGCACAGAAAATATCTGATAGTATTATTTGCTTTTCCATGGATAGTAACTATTTTACATTAAAATCACACACTTAGTACAGTACAGAAGAGACTACTTGTGGCTGCCTCTAATAGCCTAAAAGGCCAAGTGCAAATGTTAATGTAACCCAACCTTTTCTTTTAATAACAGTTCTTAAACTGTATTACAACTTTTTATAAGTACAGGTATTGGTTTATTCAAGTCCCAGTTTACTTTCCTAAAAGGAAATACAAGAACATACAGTGATAGAGGCAACATATTTCACCATGGTCTGTAATTTTGGTCCATCATACACATATGGGTCCAGGATTCTAAAATTATACAGGATCACTATTCCCAGTCCCTGCAGAGGCGGGCATACAACATTTAGTACTGCAAAAGCGTTTTGCTTCAGCTTCTTAGGTAGTGCTGTTAGAAAAATTTATAATATCTCTAAAGTACAAGTCATCATATGTGCTATCAATTTCATTCCATTCTGCAGAATCTTTTAGTTTTAAATCTGTCTACCAAATCTTGACTATGACATTTGTTGTTTTTCTGTTTTTGGTACTGGGGATCGAACTCGGGACCTTGTGCTTGCTCGGCAGGCGCCAGAACCACTGAGCTAAATCCCCGGCCCGACATTTGTTTTTTTTGAATTCCTACATCAAGGTTAAACTATCTGGATAAGGAAAGTCAAAAGCTTCTCAACTTTTGAATACAAACATTTCAAATTTTTGATAAAGAGCTCTTTATAACTAACACTTCACAAGCAAATACCAACATGAAACAATGTACTATTTTTAAGTTATAGAAGAAATTCCATTAGATTTAGATAAACTGGGACAAGTACAAGTTTTCTAGGTGATTTAATCAAGTTACTTACAATGTACACATTCCTGAGTATATCCCATTGTGACATTGTTTATTTTGAAATTTTTCTGCATTCAGCTTAAAAGATGTTTCTTCCCAAGAAACTGAACTTTTCTGTCAAATGCACTTGACCGAATAGGAGAGTTGGGTTCATAAAATGGATTCATTGCAAACTAGGAAAGAAAAAGGTATTAGTGAGCCTGTCAAAGCAAAAAGGCTGAAAAATCATAGGTCTTAAATTATTTTAAACTTATAAATTAATCATCATCAAAGACATTCAAAACGAAAATCTGTGAACCACATATTTTGTTTCATTGTATATGCTCCATTTTTTTTTTTTTGAGACAGGGTCTTGTTATACAGTTCAGGCTAGGGCTTGAACTCACTATGTAGCCCAGGCTGGCCTCATGCTTTCGGCAGTCTTCCTGCCTCAGCCTCCTGAGTGCTGGGATTACAGGCGTGTGCTACCATACCTGGCTGCTCCATTGTTAAATACTGTCTCCTTAAGGAGTTTTAGTTTTGAGAAGTACTTGTAGCAAAACTAATGGTAGCAGGACAGGTATTACTGTCTGAGTAAAGTAATGTACCTGTGTGAGAAGTACAGTACAAATCTACTTGTATTCATGATAAACAAATGGACTGATCTGTAAGGCCCTCAGGACTAAACTAATGAAAAATCTGTCACATGTTCAGAGTTAAGGAAAGGTTATACCATACTGTTATTAAAAGTTACTCTTGTGTAATATTTTTTAATCAGGGTTTTAAATATCCTCCTTTAACAGAAAGCTAAATAATCAGTTCCTTATCTAAAGCAATAAGTGCATTATAACAGGTGTGAGAAATTAATATTAAATAGAATTCTAAGGAGGAAAGGAATTACTAATTTTTTCATCTTAATCACTTAATATTTACCCATCTTTATAAGACAGCTAAACATTCTTATTTGCTACCTTTGACTAGAAATGGTGGGTTTTTAATTTTATTACTGTGCAGATATGTAAGAAATTCTGCCCAGATATAGAACATATTTAAACTAGGAACAAACTGTTATTAGCACTGTACTTTAACCATGACATTGTATTACTATTTTATTTCTCACTGCAATATCAAATGTAGGCACACCATATTCCTTGAATAACTATTTCGTGATGTAAGAATCACTTCTTGCCAGTTCATGATCTACATCCACTGCATTTAACTTATTTGTAAATTAGATAAATATTTTAGATATAAATTACAAAGCAAATTTTCATTATGTAGGCTGTTTCCTTGCTGTCTTGAGGGTTCCCTAACTAAATGATATGCACCAAAAGAGGAAGAATGGCACTGATTTACCTTCACAATCATTTAAAAATAACTACCATGGGTTGTTTTCCTGGCTACATATTAACTTAGCAGTGAAGACCTGCTTACTGAGAAAGCTGCCAGAGCTAGTTTTGATGTAGCTAAAGCTAGCTGGAAATGAAAGCTGTGCAGCCTAAGGGAGTTACTTAAACAGGCTAGTTTATTGTCAAAGCTAGAATCCTTTTTTATAACCAGATTTTTAAAAATCATAGAACATACCATACCTTTATATATAAATCATAGACATCAGTAAAGAAGTTCTTTATTCCATCTTCTTGCCTTATATCATGAAGCATAATAAATCTCATATGTAGAATAATTAAGGTATAATCTCTTAAAACTGAAAAGCTATCAGTTGACACTCTATTCTTTAAATCAGTCATATGCACTGTATATGACTGTCATATGCATCGGAAAAGTTGAACACAGGAACTGGGTTTAGAGTCAACTTAGTTTTATCTTTAAAAGAATGTAACCTTTTAAAGTTAGGAAAGATATAAAAACAGCCCTATAAATGGAAATTTTTACATTTTTCTATGACTCTTTGATATCTACAGATTCAGAACCTGGCATCTATGTTTCATATTCTTCTGAGTCTGTTCACACAACCTTTAGTTAAGTATCTTTACTAATAAGGTAAGGATATGGCCTGCAGTGACAAATGCTGACACAAACCACTCATTGAATTTGTCCACAGTTTTCAAGTACATGTTGTTTGAAAGCCACATGTTTTCATCCACAAGGTCAAGAGCAGCGTGAGCTATGAACTGATTCAGATGACGATGATCATCCTAGACAACAGAGAGCAGCAACGGATTAAAATTCCCATGTGGCATCAGGAATGCCAACAATCATTCCATAAATTCTATGTATGGTTTTGTCATGTGGGAAAAACATTATGTTTTTACTTCATTTATTATCATCAGGAGACATAACCTCTGGTTTCCTCACATTTTAATCTGATATCTAAAACTCAACAAGAACAGAAAACAGCCAGTTAATAAATAAAATGTGTTCAAGAAACTATACAGAAAATTATATTTTTAGTGTTGCAAGAAGGAAGTTACCAAATTCCGTAACCATTTAAGCATGTGAAAACCGAATACTACATTTAACGGGCCAAAAAAAAGAAAGGTAGATCCTGCTTTTGAGAAGCTCACATCTTATTAGAGGAAAAAGACACAAACAATGTGTGAGTGGATGTGGATCCAGGAGAGCACCCTAGGGAGCCCAGGCCCAAGGAGGTGGTGAAGGAGAGTTGTAGAGGAGAGATGCCAGGCACTGGGCTGCACTGACCCGAGGGAGCAGGGAGGGCCAGGTTCCCCAGTGGCACCAAGGACACAAGCAGCAGAGACAACTGAGGAGGTAGCACTCACGATGGCTGCACAGAGGCCTCTTTCAGATGAATGGAGCATACACTGCACGGGGATCTAGGATTGGTGCGAGGCCTCGCTCAGCCCCAGCTGTGAGCAGTCATCTAAGTCAGCAGGGGACAATTCTGTTAGAACTGGGAGTGTCACTGTGCTGGGCTGATATGGCTTAACTGGAGAGAAGGTCAGTTTTACCCCTGTGGAATTCTCTCACCCCTTCTCTCTTTTGTAGTGCTGAGGATTGAACCTATAGCCTCAGGAATGCTAGGCAAGTGCTCTACCACTTGAGCTATATCCCCAGCCCAGAATTCCTATTTTCAAAATGCACTTTCAGTGAATACCTGTTATGGATTGAACTGTGTCCTCCCCAAAATTCACAAGCTGAAGTCCCAAGCCCCAGAGCTTCAGAATGTGGTCTTAGAGAGTCACTGCAGATGTGGTTAGCTAGGCCGGGACTCTAATCCAGTATGACTGGTGTACTTATAAAAACAGGCGCTCTGGAGACAGACATGCACACAGGGAGAATGCCACGTGAAGACTGGTGTTACAGCTGCCACAAGCCACGAACTACCACAAGCTGGGAGAGAATGAACCCTTCCTTGGTGCCTTCAGAAGGAGCACGGCCCCGCTGACACCTTGACTTCAAACTTCTGCCCTGTTACGGTGTGTGTCTAGATGTCCCCCCAAAGCCTCACGCAGTCATGATGAGGGGCTTTTCGGAGGTGGCTGGATCTGGAGTATGTGATGCTGGGATCAAGACGTGTGATTACTAAATCAGTCCACTGACTGGTTTGGCAAAGTTCTGGGCAGGGAAGGGTGCACCAGCCTGGGTGTGAGTGCTATCTGCTGGATAAGATAGAGGGGACAGAAAGAGGGTCTCGGGTCCCTTGTTGCTTGCTTGCTTGTTGTCTTCTGCCCGCCCTGCTTTGCAGTGGACTGTTTCTCCTCTGCGGTGCCCCTCTGCCATGCCACCCTGCCTTGGAGCCAGCCGACTGTGGACTAAACCCTCTATGAACTGTGAGCCAAAAAAACCTTTCCTCCTTGAACTTTGGGTGTCGAGTATTTTGTCTCAGCAAAGAGAAAAGTAACTAAGACAGTCCCCTAAGTCTATGAGACACTAAATTTGTTGTTCCAAGCCACTCAGGTTTTGGTACAGGAAACCGACACAACCTTCTTCCTGAGGAGGTTGTTCCCATGACTAGGCTTCCCACGAGGATGGCTGCCAGTTGCCCTGGAATCCCTCGTATGGCTAAGTATGTTTACTTCACGCACGTCGTCATGACAAAGCTAACTGAATCCTTAGAGAAAAGAGATGTATTCTGTCTCTAGCTCACAGCAGTACTTTCCATGACTTTATAATAATGATCAGTCTTGAAAGGGAGGGAAGGGACAATAAAAAGAATTAAGGTGTGTTATGTACATGTACCAACCCCACGATGAATGCAATCAGTATGTTGTGCAAACATGTACTAATAAACAATTTTTTAAAAAGACTAAAAAAACGATCACTTTTGAAAGACTGAGTGCAAACAGCAGAAATATTTTAAGAAGGCAAGCAGCACCAGGAGAGAGAACTAAGACCAAGTCAAGTTATTAAGTGTTTTCATATGTGCTGTTTTATCCATTAGCCCACTGGAGTGCACAGAAGCTGTATGCAAGTAGCAATGTCCCATGAAGCAACAAGTGCTACAGAAATACCTGAAAACAAAGTTCTAATGAGCAGTACTCTCATAAGAATATGGGAAAACTATGTAGCAATATCACTTGGTAGATAATACCTTAAACAAGTCTACTGCATTTTGGTGATAAGAAGTGAACATTTGAAATGCATCTTACACTAAAGATTGTACATTATGACTAATTTACAAAACCCACTCCTGGTCTTAAAGGACATTAAAGCCTATTTGTGGAGGCTGGGAGAAACAAAGCATACTTGTCAACAATTTATTAGGCACATGGACTACTACAAACAGATGGAAGGGACTGACTGTACAACTGTTTACTCTGAATGGTAGGTAATGTCCCTGAACCAAGCTCATTTCTCTGGAACCATTCCCGGCAATAAGAAAGCTGGGTGTTTCACCTCTGTTGCTCCTTTTAGGGTTTCCTGAGCACAGCCAGGATGTCACTGGGGAGGAGGGCACGTAGGCACCACCCAGCCAGACAGTGCTATCGAAGTCAATGGAAACAAAGGGCTGCAGACGTAGTAGCATCAGGACAACATGGAAGTCTCTTTTAATTCTCTCAGATAGAAAGTGATCTACTATGCCCATACCCATGAAAAGTGTGATTCATTAAAACAGAACGGACATCATGGCATTTCAAAGCAGCAACAAATGTTCTTCCAGACCCACTAAAGGTAGACGATGTTTCCATGCATTTACAAAAATGCATTTCCTAGCGGTGACACAGTGAACTGAACATCACAGAAAAAGACCTGGGCAGTATGTGCTGAATTAAAGGTTACATAAACAACCCCTTCTATCAGTCTGCGAGATCCCAGAGAGAGCCTCATTTAATGGTGGTAGACTTCAGTTGTCTTATCTGTCCAGATCTTCCAGTTCCAAAATCACAACTTATCATTTCACTAAAAAATTCTTATGGAATTTAAGAGTTCATACATACTTTGGATTCTGCTTTCCCAGCTGGCAAAAATTCCATTTCAAAAACTGGATTATCATGGTGGCCAACAATTACAAAGTAGAAGCTTCCAGACATTGTCTTTAGTATATGGCTCCTAATAAATGAAAGACAATAAACATTTTTAGTATTCAAAACTGAAATCCAAACATGATTAATACAAAGTCTAGAATTCTTTTTTTCTTAGCTTAATCTTGGCTCATTTTCCAATATAACTATGATAGATATACAACTTTTGGACTATACAAGTTAGATCTGGTATGTGTCCTATAGAATCCAATGTACTGTATCTTCAGAGAGAACTAGAAAACCTCTAGTATAAAATAAAAAAGACAATATTCTCATGACCTGAAAATTCAAGACATTCAGCTCAAGAGTCCCTATGTGTCTGATGGAGTGAGCCAGCTTAATTTGGACTGGACTGGTTAGCATTCACATTAACACTAGAAAGATGAATAGAGAGTACTGATTAGTTAAGTACGATTGAGAGCAGAAAAGGCAAAGGAAATAATTAGCTTTTCTCAAAAACTTATAAGAGGTACCCTTCAGAGAAAGCTAAAAGCAACTGTACTACATGTCATTTACACAGAAGACGCTAACATTTAGCTACAGATTTTGTACTATATTTTCTCTTTTTTCTACCTGAAGGATGTATGCTGCAAATTTAAGTCCCTACACATACAAGAGCCTGTGATATGCCTCTTTATATACCTGTAAGTAAGGAGTTTTGTGTTCTAGAAAACAATGAATGAAATAATACAAAAAGGAAAACAGTCTCTGAGGTACTGAAAGGTCTTGGGACTAAGAGTTATCAGGTTGACCAAAGAAAAAAGTACTATAGAAAACTGGGAGAAAAAAAATCAGTGATTCCGTAGCTTTTAATACAGATCATCCAAAAGCTGGACTGATAGGTGGATGGGTAGATGGACAGACAGATAAACAAAGGTGGATGATGGCTGGGCGGGGGGATGGATGGATTTAAATATGTGTATTTTTAGCATAAGGGCTTTGGAGTCAGACAAGGCTAGGTTCAAGTCTAGCTCTGCCTTTTACTAGCAATGTGACCATCTTAATCTCCCAGTGTCTTGTTTCTTCAGCTGCACAACAGAGATAACATTGTAGCTACTTTCGTGATGCATTCATGAGAATTACACAATCTAATGCCTGGAAAGCATGAAAATTGAATGCATGGTGGCTAGCTCACAGTAAGTGCTCCGTAAGTGTTATCTAGAATAATATGGAAGAGCTTATGCATAAGAGGATGTGGCAACTTGTCATTCTTCGACGTGGAGTGGGAATCTAGTTAACTGGGAGCATCTAGTCAGCCTCCTGGACTTCTGGGGTGGGGTGAGCCCATGATTCACCAAGCCTCATTGGGCCTTCTGCTGACTTACTCAGAACCCACAGCACAATCAAAACACATCTGAATGTGTTTCTTAATGAATGAAACACTTGTAGAAGACCAATCTGGCACTTTCAACTCAAATTAGAAGGCTATGACTGGAAGAAAAGGTAGCAAGAAGACTCTTGGTGTGATGAAATAGGATTTAAAATGTTTTTGGAGCAAGGGCCAGAACACTACAGACTGCAAGCTAAATCTAGCCTCATACATCCTCCTTACTATCCAAGGGCTGCTTTTGCTCTTCAGTGGCAGAGTTGAGCAACTGCAACAGAGACCATCTGGCCCACAAAGCCAAGAATATTTACTATCCGGGCCTAGACAGAAAAAGTTTGCCTCTCTTTTAGGAGAAAGATAAGTAAAACTGAATGACAAAGACAAGCAGGAATGATATAAAAGCTATGCAAAACTAGGGAGAATTTGCAATAGCTCTCATGAGAAAGTGAGGGAAAGAGGAATGGGAACTCGAAATGTGAACCAAGTAAACAATAATATCACGAATTCTTACTGCAATAGGCTTCAGAGGTTCAGTTTGCCAAGGGAGGGGTTATTTTCTTCAGTACATTTAAGCAGCAGCAGAAGAGGAAAAATAAAAACCAAAGCAGCAGAAGGAAGACATACAAGGAAGACAACTTACATTCCTCCCCACACACTTGCTCCTTTATGGAATCCACAAATGGGGGAGAAGCATAGCACTTAAGTACAGCATGAAGAGGAACAGAAAGGCATCTGAAAGATGCATAAAGGTCCTGCTACAAACCACCCAGCTGGGCAGATGAGACAGAGCCTTCTTTATATACATTCTGTCCTTGACTTGAGCTGCCAATCATTTGATTTTGTAAACAACTCAAGAAGTTAGAAGGCTTATAATTCTCCATTCAGTTCTGCCAAGGGAAATCTGACAGGTGAAGTGGAAGAACTGAAAACCCTGGGAGGAAAAAGCCCCACTGTCTCAGGAAGATAATGCCTGCAGTCATTTAACAGCTACGTTCAGGCTCACCACCATGGGTACTGGGCAAAGGTAAGACACACCTCTGCTGTCCAACACACTGAACTTTCTGAAGGGATGTAAGTGTTCTGTCATTTGAAATATGACGATGTAGACAATGTAGAAGTAGGTCACTAACTAGTAACCAATATGAAAATGGGACCAGAAATCTCTGAGGTCAGCACCAGGGGGACAAAAGCCCACAAGGAACCGAAGTATCTAAAATGTCTTAAGAAAAATAAAACTCTTTTTAGGTTATGATCAGGAAAAAGCAGACAGGAGAAAGGTCAACTGCTTTAAGCACTTGGTACACACTGAGATGTCTCTGTTAAAGAGAATGGCTTTCAAATAGCAAGCACGGAAAAAATCAGGTTAGGCAGATGCAAACATCACGACAGGTACATTAAGAAAATATCTGGGCATTTCAACAGACTCTAGTCTTCAGGTCCTGGCAAATTAGACAGCTTGGATTAACAAATGTGATTGTATATCCACTGTTCATTGACATTTGAGAAATCACAGGCAGAAAAGTGCCATAGCCTCGGAGATAGGTTAAGTAGTATTCCTATTTTCAGAAACAGGATAAAAGGTTCTCATCTGTAACTGGATACAAAGAGACTAAAACAGGGGCCGGGGATTTAGCTCATTGGTGCCGCCAGCTGCCTCACAAGCACAAAGTCCACAAGTTCAATCCCCGGTACCAAAAAAAAAAAACCCCAAAACAAAACAGAAATATGTATTAAATGCCTATTGTTTTGGTCACACATGCTAGGAGCTTTTATTATGCATTAACTCATTTTTTTTCTTTTTGGTAGGTAGACAATAAATCATTTCCTGAGGGATTTTTGGTATCTACCTAAGAACAAACTGCAGACCTGTTTTTGCTAGACTGGTGCCCTCTATAACAGCAGGCACACTGTTTGTCTTGTTCACTATGGCATCCCCAGAGCTACAACAATGGCAGGGACCCAGTAGGCACCCTTTATTTGCTGGAAAAGGGACCACTCATAGTTGACTTTTATGTTAATACCCAAAGAAATGGAAGGTTCTATGTCAATTTATGGCCCAGAGTGTGTAGGGAGGCTCTAAGGTTGACGTTAACCTAATCTAGCTCAGCATTTGAATCAATAATTTGAATGAAAATAACTCACCACATTCAAAGATAATGCTAAGGGTAGCTAATTTATTAGAAGGCAAAAGTTAGGATTCAAAAAGATCTCCATGACTAGGGAGTTAGAAGAAATTAACAAGATGTAATTTAAGAGGATGAGAAATACAGCCTGGTATTGAAGTTTTTTCTTTTTTCACTTTATTAAATTCTTTTATTGGTACATTGTAGGTATACAACACAATTACATTTCTCATTGGGAACTTGTACCTTTACATAATGCATCTTGGTTCTTATTTTTTCCCCATTCCTAGCCCTCCCTTCACCCCCTCCACCCTTCCCTATTTACAAAGACTTTATTTCCATTTTTTCCATTCTCATTTTTCCTTTCCCTTCTTTCCTTTCCCCTGCCCCTCCCACTACCCCTACCCCTTTGGACCTTTTCTTCCTATTTTGCATTATCGATTATTCATTCTAATCATTGGTACATTTTAGGTATACAATATAATGACATTCATCATTGGAAATTTGCACCTTTACATAATCTCTCTTGGTTCTTATTTTTCACCCTTGCCCAGCCCTCCCTTCAACCCCTCCATTCCTCCCTATTTACAAAGATTTTGTTCCTATTTTTCCATTTTCTCATATTAATCCCATTCCCTACTATCCTTTCCCCTAGCCCTCCCACTTCCTTCCCCTTTGCCCCTTTTCTTCCTATTTCACATTACCTATTATACAGCCAAAAAAAAAAAAAAGAGAGAAATTAGAGACATTTATAGCTAAGTGGATGCACATTGAGGTGATACTCTTAAGTAAAATAAATAGGACACACATGTGTAAATACTGAATAGTTTCTCTGGTGTGAGAAACTGAAAGTGTAAATAAGGACTAAAATGTATAAGAGTTTTTTAAAAAATCAACAGGAAGAGGGAAACCTAGATTAAGAGCAACTCACCTACAGGAAAGCCCAAAGTTTTAATTTACTGCAAGCTCATTAAGAGGCAGCAGTATGATATGATGGTCAAAAAAACGCTAAAGTAATTCTAGGCTGCATTAAAAGAAAGAGATGTCCAAGCAAGGTTGGGAAAGTGCTTACGTCCTCTTTACTAATAATACCACCTTTGAGAAGTACTCAGTTCTGGGAACAACATTTTAAAAGGATCAATAACTAAAAAAAAAGTGCTAGGGCTGAGGGTGAGATCTAGCCTAGGGAGTATTCTAGAAACAAAATGAGAAGTGAAGGAACTGAGGATGTTTAAACTAAGAGAGAAAAAAGACTTGGTGGGGAGGTACAGCACAATACTATTTTTAAATATGCTGTTTAATAGAAAAAGGATTCGACTAGGGATGGCAAAAGGTTTCTTTTTCTGTGCCAATTCTAATCACCTTGTAGTGACTGCCAGGAACTGGTGCTGAGAAAGAATCTGTAGTCAGTGTAGTCAGCAGGAAATCACTGTGATCAATTATTCATGTCTGCTCAAGTTTGGGGGAGTGCAGGGCCTACACGAGGGCCTACTCTGTATTTGTCAGTATTTGCTAACTCTGCACTAGACAGACTTATTCAGTGCTCCACAAGTCAAGCTCAGGGCTGCTCATCTGAAGTTACCAGGAAGCTAAAAATGAGTAAGGGGGAAGTAAAGGACGACTAGCACCAGAGTGGGAGGATGAACTCAAAAGAACTTAGAAGTCGTTTCCAACCCTTAACTATTTTAAGTTGCAGGTAAATGCAAGACAAAACTCATAAACTCCAGTTCCAAAGCCATCCATTTTTTATGCCAAGATTCTTTACAACCTCTACAGAGGGACTTCTAGAAAACTGCCCTGTGATCCGGATGGCAATGGTTTCTTTCAGTCGTTCCACAGGGCTGGGGCTGTGAGACTGAGGCAGTGTAGCATAAGACATGTCTATTTAAATGAGGAGGAGTATAAATACTACTGATAAGTCTCTAATGAGAAAACTTCCTATTTAAATTATAAGCAGCACCCCCCTGCCCCGCCCCACCGAGTTTATGCTGGTTTTTGGAGGATATCTAATTCTGTTCAACTTTGGGACCAAAGGTAGGGGTGGGTGTGAGAGTGTCTTCAGGCACTGATGCTTTAAAAAACAAGTGGACTTTTTAACAGTTTTTACAACATTTCAACATCGCACTGAGCTACACCCCCGTTTTCCCCTTCTGACAGGGTCTCCCTAAGTTTCTTTAGTTGCTCAGACTGGGCTTGAACTTGAGATACTCCCGCCTCAGCCTCCCAGAGTGCTGGGATTACACCACCACACCCTTTCAACATCTTTCTAGAACACTGTTTTCATCATTTCACTATTCTGCTCAAAAGCCTTAATACTTCTCTGCTACAGGTCATGTACTAGCACTCAAAACAGATTTCCATATCGTTCCTTAAACCTTATTGTTTCACCTTTGCTAGAGGTGACTGGTCTACTTATTGTTTCTCTCAAATTCACTTTGATAATATCAGACTGTTATACTTCAGAGTTACTTTCCTTGTTTCTCTCTTTATAATTGGAACGCTCTTCCTGATTGAGTGTCCACACCTTATCCATCCTTTAAAGTCCAACAAAGTCCTCCCAGCCCAGAGGAAGGGACTTCCGGGCCGCCGTTCCACCAGTCCCAGCCCAAAGTCCTTCTTCCACAATTATTTCCCAAAAAAACCTACAGGCCCTTCTACATTATTGGTGGGAATGTACAACCACTATGGAAATCAGTACAGACATGCCTCAAGAAACTAAAAGTAGAAATTCCATTTGACCCTGCTATTCCCCCTCTAGGTATCTTCCCAAAAGAGTTAAAGACACTATATTACAGTGATCCATACATAGTCATATTTATAGCAGCACAACTCAGATAAATCTTGGAAGTGGTCTATGTATCCATCAACAAATAAATGGATAAAGAAAATGTGGTATTTATACAGAATGGAGTACTACTCTGCCATAAAGGATACATTTCCATCATTTGTAGGAGAATGGATGCAAGTTGAGTCATAATGTTACGTGAAATAAATCAGATACACAAACTTAAATATCGAGTGACTACTATGAGAAACCCAAAGTATTAATAAATTAAAGAACAACATAAAAGACAGATGATAAGAAACAAGGAGATAGACCTTTTGCAAAAGGTAAGGGGACTCAAGGATAGAGGGAGGAGGGTAGAAGGGGAGAAGGATGAAAAAAGAATAAAGATGTGTTATGTACATGGATCAACTTCCCACAATGAATGTAATCATTATGCACTGCAAACATGAAGTAAGAAGAATTTTTTAAAACCTAGAGGCTGTCCACCTCCTATGAACTTTGTTACTCTGAGATACTTTAAACTTTTCACTGCCAGGGATCAAAACTCATACTTTTCTTCAATGCTGTGCACAAAGCTGACACTGACCCAATTTTGTCCTCATACATAGGACTTAAGATACCTTGTATCCCCAGCACACAACTTTGGAGTCAAACCAAAATTTCCACTGCCTCCAAAAAGGTCCTGACTTTTTTTAATCCCCTTGCTCATTTTCTCTTTTCTGCGATGTTCTCCTTTTGGCCCACTTTCTAAATCTTACCACCCAAGGCACTGATGAGTTACCACTTTTTTCACATTGACCACTATCATCTTCAACTGCCTCTCCTTTTCCCAAACTCCTTACCCTACCTACAGTGCATCTTAATTCTTGTTCTATTCTCAGGCAGTAATGTTTTCATTACTGCTTCTGAGAGATTTGGTTCCTTCGCTTTCCAATTAGATTTAAGTGTCCCGGGACCGGGCTCAACTTTATCTTTCTCACAGCACACAAAGGTGAGTATTATAAAGTTTAGTTCTGTCTTTAACTGGGAGCGATTCTGCCTCCCTGAGGACATGTGACAATGTCTGGAGGCATTTTTGGTTTTCACAACTGCCCGCATGGAAGCGGTGTGCATTTATTAGACACAGATCAGGGAGGCTGTTAACTTCTTACTACACACAGGTCTACGTCCTACAACAAAGAATTTTCTGGTCTCAAATGGCAACAGTGCCACGGTTAAGAAACAAAGGGTTAGGAGTGAAAATCAAGCCTCCAAAAGACAGACATCTGCTGCTGGAAATGGACTGTGGATCGGCCAGGTGGGCTGCGATGGAGCTGGCCTGCCGGGGGCTGGCGGGGACAGAGGTACACAGCCGATGTCCGCGTCACGCGGGACCTGGGACGTCCCCCAAGGACTCGGAGCGCCCGCCCCCCGACTCGCTCCAACCCCTACCTGTCGAGAGACGCCGACAACGGAAAGGACCAGTCGATTCCCGGGGCCAAGACCCGCGCTCCGCAGCTTCAGGCCGGACTCCGGGACCAGTCCTCGCGAGACCCTCTGGGCGACTGAGCTCTCGCGAGATGTGGGTGGAGCCTCCGGTTCGCGCTGCGCAGCTGGCTTCCTGCGCTGCGGCCCTCCTTGCAAAGGCGGCGACGCTCAGAGAATCTCTGGGGGCATCGGAATGGTCTCTGAGCGGTGAAAACTCGGTCCTCCCTCGCTGCTGGGCCTCTCCCTCCCGTTCTCCGCCCTCCAGCTGCCTTTGAGAGTCTCGCCTAGATCACGGCCCCGCCTACCCTTCAGAACCGCGGAGAGAGTGAGCGTCCTTGCCAGAGTTCTAGTTCGAAGCGTTAGGCTGAGCGTTCTGTTCCCCAGTTCTCCGGTCACCGCGGATACGGGCCTCTGAAGGCAGGGTTTCCCTCTCGTCCAAGGCCTGCAGCCTGGTCTGGGCCTCGAATTGGGTCACAGCGGGGCGTGCTTGGGAGGAAGCAGGTATCTGGTGATGGCTCAGGTAGCCACGCCTGCCACTTTCCGGACCGACGGGGAGAAGTTTCTTGTTTGTGTCCGTTAGAGCTCCTTTCCCCAGTAGGTATCTTAGGGCTTCCCGGGCGGCCACTGGCCTGTTTTCAGAAATTCACTTACCCATTGCTCTCCAGGTAACTTGTAACCATTTTCTCTTCCAGTCCATCATGCCTCCCAAGTATAATGTGTTGAGTCAAGATGAACTGCGCAAAAAGCTATACCAGACGTTTAAGGATCGAGGTATACTGGACACGTTAAAGGTATCAGATTTAGTCATATCTGTGTCATAGCTTTTACAAGTGTAACCTACAACAATTAGTCCACATTTAAATTCATCCAGAGCCTGGGTTTTAAAAGTAGAATGATGTATAGATTGTAGTGGTGAGTTACAATTTTATATGGAGAATGTTGAGTTTGAGTCGTCTTAAAAGAGTCTATTCAAAATAATAGATTTATGGAATTGGCATTAAGATAGCGGTAACATTTATGTAATGAACACATTTTAGTAAAATTAGACTTCTACGTATCTGGTATACTAGTTCCTGAATTAATAGGTGGTTTTGTAGTATGTTTGATGAAGGCCATTGACTCTATGTAGAATATATTAAATGTACTGCTTACTGCAGAACAGTTTGAGGAATGAAATGTTTTGCCTTAAAATATATTGGGACATAGCATTTAATATGGAGAGCAAATATGTATTAGTACACTTTATATTTTAACAGCAAGGAGTAGGATTAGCTCAATTTGTTTACAGTATACATTTCAAAACTATATTTACACTTAAAATAGGAAATAAGGAAAAGTAACCCTGATTGGTATCACCCTTTTGCCCATTGCTTTAGTAACCTCATAAAAACAGATTCATCTGGAAAATACAGAAAAGCAGAAGGGGGAAAATGATGTCTAATTCAGCCACAGTTGGTATAATGTGCATGTATCTTGTAAGTTATATGGGGAGCATTTCCTTGTTGCTTTAAATTTCTTGAAATCCTGATTTTCGGTAACGGCAGGCTCTTCTTTGGATGTATGAGTAATTTATGTTGCAGTCCCTGTTGTTGAATGTTTAGTTTATATCCAAGTCTACACATAACCTTCAGTTGCACCTTTCACTTTTTGCATAGCATAGATTAAATCACATTATTGGGTCAAAGAACATAAATATTTTTTAAGGTTATTGATGTGTACATCTTGTTCTGAAAGATTATATTAGTTTATGTTCCATGAGCAGTTTGGGAATGCTTGTTTCACTCCAATATTACACTTTTTAACAATCTAAAATTGAAAAACTTGTTTTAATATTTCATTCATTTGCTTATTGATGAAGTTCACATCTTTTCTGTCACTTGTGTATTTTTCATTGATGAGCAGTTCATGTTCCTTTCACATTTTTTCCTAGAGTGTTAGTGTCTTCTTATCAATGTTGTAAGACTCTTTTAATAGAAACTATTAATCCTTTTCCTTTTTTATTGCAATACTTTAGCTCTGTGTTCAATTTTAATTTGGCCTCAAAAATATTGATGTAACATTTTTATATGATCAAATCTTTTTGACTTTTTGCTTTTTATTGTCAGTACTTGACTAAGAGAATGACTATGCACTTCTTGAATTTTATTTATTTATTTATCTATCTGAGTTTTTTGCAACAGGGTATCACTATGTTGTTCGGATTGGCCTTGAGCTCACCATGTTGCCCAGGATGGTCTTGAACTTGTGGCAATCCTCCTGCCTGAGCCTCCTGAGTGCTGGGATTACAGGTGTTCATCACCATGCCCAGTTACACGTTTTAAATTTTAGAAAGACTTTTTTTACATTTAATTCCTTAACCCATCTGTAATTAACTCTAGTGTATTGACCCACCTGGAATTAATTGTACTTCATTAATGTACTTTCTAATATTGAACAATCCTTCCATTCCCCGGGCATGACCTATTCTGGGTTAGATTTGACAGTGTTTTACTGTGCATCTGCATTCATGATTGATACTAGCCAATCATTACCCTCCTCGAGGTCTCCTTTGGCTTTGGTGTCAGGATAACGCTGGCCTTGTTCACCCTGTAGCTAGTGTGACCTCCTGAGAAATACTGATATTCCATCTTGATCAATGACAGGCAGATCTTTACTTTCTCAGACTGAGCTAATTTTTACTTTTTGATAATTGGTATAGATGAATTCTAATTTTTAAAATTAGCCTAATATGTGTTCTGTTTGGGTATTTGAAAAGAATTTCTGTTTACAGTGAAATACACAGTCATTTAGGTGTCCATGAATGAAGCTTGTTAAATCTTCTGATTCCTTATTCTGCTCTAAATAATCAGTTTCAGAGATGTGTGTTGAGGACTCAGAAGTCTTTTCTGTCTCATTTCCCTTCTCCCCAGGATCATTGTTCTTTCTTCTTTTTTTCCCCAAAGGATATCACCTTATTTTTTTTTGAAGCAAAACATTTGTTGGTACATTTTAGATATACATATTGATAACATTCATCATAGAGAATTTGTACCTGTCGATGATATATCTTGCTTCTTTTTTTCCCTATTTTGCTCCCCTCCCTTTGATCTCTCTTCCCCTCCTTATTTACAAAAGCTTTGTTTCCATTTTTTCCTTCTATTTTCACTTTTTTTTCCTGTCCCTTCTTTCCTTTCCCCCTCCCTCCTCCCTTGTTCCCCTTCCCATTTGAACATTTTCTGCCCATTTCCCATTATCTATTACTGTATGCATTTTGGTCCTTATTTCCATTTTCAGTTTCTCACCAAAGGAGCAATGTGTCATTTAAGCATGTGTGTCCCATTTATCTCACTTAAGCATATGGACTCAAGGTGTATCCACTTACCTAGAAATGTTTCAATCTTATCCTTCTTTATGGCAGAGTAAGTAGTACTCCACTGTATATAAAATCGCATCTTTATCCATTCATCGGTTGATGGACATTTGGGTTGTTTCCAAGATTTAGTTATTATAAACTGTGCCACTATAAACATGGGTGTGCATATATCATGGTGGTATGATGCTTTTAATTCTTTTGGGAAGATTCCAAGAAGGGGAATAGCTGGGTTGAATAGAACCTCTAATTTTAGTTTTTTGAGGAATGTCCACACTAATTTCCACAGTGGTTGCACCAGTCTGCACTCCAACCAACAGTGGAGAAGGGTTCCTTTCTCCCCACAGCCCCGCCAGCATTTGTTATTGGTTGATTTCTTCACAGCAGCCATTCTGGGGTGAGGTGGAATCTCAGCATTGTTTTAATTTGCATCTCTTGAATGATCAGTGATGTTGAACATTTTTTCATATATTTATTTGCCATTTCTTCTTCATCTGAGAAGTGTCTGTTCATTTCAGATCTCCATTTTTTTGATTGGGTCTTTAAATTTGGGGAGTCTGATTTTTTTGAGTTCTTTATATGTTCTAGATATTAGTCCTTTCTCTGAGGAACAACTGGCAAAATTTTTTCCGACACTGTGGGCTCTCCCTTCACTCTGTTGATGGTTTCTTTTACTATAATGTCATTTAATTTTTCCTATTTTTCATTTCACCAGTTTATGTCACTCATTTTTCTATTTTATTCTCTTTCATTACTCATATGCAAAAAAACCCCCTAAATTATTTTATTAAGGTCAGTCTAAATATACCATATGTTACAGGGGTACTATAATTAAACTCCTTATAAATTTTACTGAGGAAGGATGTTGTAGTTTCTCTTTCTTTGCTTTATTATTTCAGATAATGAATTGTTTTAGGTGAGACTGAGCATGCATGTTTTGTTCAGTATTCATATTTTGTTTGGTTTTTAATATAGTATATTAGATGTGTAATAAGTCCTGCTCTATCTTGGTAATTATATATCATTCTATTGTAGTTAAAGGATATAAGAAAGGTAAAATAAGAACTCCATTTGTTGCTTGCTTGTATTCTATTAATATGAATTATAAGATATTATATCCTACAAATCTAGGCAATATGCTCTTAAGCTCAGCCCAATTGTATATTTCCAAATTATATGAAAAATAGATTAAAACAAACATTCAGTGGCCCCTTTAACTTAGGGGATTTTCTTAATATCCAGATGGTTAATAATGCCAGTGCTATAACCTTGAGAAAATTATCCATTCCGAAGCTAAATTTCATGATTTATAAATTGTGAAAAGATTATTATACTTCATGGTAGCTTGAAATGTTAATATTCTGTATGTAAGCACATTCTCTCTTTTTTTGGGGTGGGTAGGGGGAACTGAGGATTGTACTCAGGGCCTTCTTTGGGCTTACTAATTTCTTCCTTTCGGGAATCCGGTTTTATTTTGATCTAATGGCCAAGAAACTGGTTTGATCCTACGGTATTTTCACAGCCTGCAGCAGTCCAGAGAGGTGTGAAGTTGTCAGATGTTCTCCTTTACTTGATTCCCAATCACAGGCACCTGTGCTCTTAGGGAAGCAAAGTTAGAGTCTACAAGTTGTCTGGCTGACCAACAGTTCACATGGGAGCTGGGAAAAGAAAGCTTTTGTCTGAACCCACCGGGCTGCTTTTCTTACCAGGTCAGACAAATTGTACAGGGCCTAGATCCTAACTTGTAGCCAT